GTGCGGATAAAACCTAGCCAACTCAGCAAACTTGGCAGCATACTCAACAACCGACATATTCCCTTGCTTCAGCTCAAGGAATTCAATCTACTTCTTACCGCAAACATCTTCAGGAAAGTACTTCCTCAAAAATTCCCTACAGAACACAGCCCAAGTGACATTCTCACCTACAACTTCCAATCTCTGGCAGGTCTCTAGCCACCAGTCATCAGCCTCGACTGCTAGCATATGAGTACCATAACGAACTTTATGCGCTGGAGTGCAATCCATCACACGGAAGATTCTCTCAATCTCTTTCAACCAATCCAATGATCCGTCAGGATCATACTTTCCCTTGAACGTAGGCGGATTCTTTCTCTGGAAAGTTTCCAAGCTATGAGATCCAGCATTCCCGTCAGCATTCAGCTGATTCTCCATTGCATGAGCCATTGCTTCTAAAGCAGCAGCAAGTGCAGCATCATTCCTTCCAGCCATCTCAACTTATCACTACAACATAAACAACCGTTAGAAATCGAATTAACAATACTCGATTGTTAGACAACTACGACTCGACGACAAGGTCAGACCAACCTTTTACTCTGATACCAACTTTGTAACACCTCAATTCTACCCGACAATTATATAAATAAATCAGAGTCATAAAATTTATTCATGCAAACGAATCAGGATACCACAAATTCTTCATTAAAAACTCATTGCATTCATCGTGGATACATAATACTTTAAAACTTCGGATGAACCATCAACATAAATACTTTAATTAAATAATTCAACAATTTAACATCTACGCAGCGGAATTCTTAATAACATCTTTAACATCGTTACAGCAACTTCAAAACAACACATGTTTAATAATAATTAACTCAAAGTTCGACAACTGAATAATCAACAATCAAAAGTAACAAGCTTTCATCCCCGCGAGTGTTACATATCGGAGCAATGACACCGACTCGAACTACCGAAGGTATACAGCCTTCACTCTCGATTACCTGCACGTTACCAACGTAAGGGTAACATTCAAACAAAAGGGGTTTGAGATATCTAACAATATAATAAAGCGTATGATAATTAATATATTAAATTAGATCACATAACATCACCACTTCTCATCTTATAATCAATAATAATCGCAACAATAATACACATTTACAACATCAATACACAATTTCTTTATGCAATCGCATAATGCGACTTAATACTATGCAAATGTATGTGGTACCATTGGAGCAGAACTCCCATCTCAAAAATCTGCCAATAAATAGAGGCATAAACAAGGCATAAGCCTTCATCTTAATATTCTCCAATACAGGCCATCTTAACGAGCATAAGCTCCATCTTGAAATGCAATGTATGCGACACAATCATGAATGTAATAACAACACCATAATTAACAACATCTCAACATAAACATCATCGTTGGCCATAAGCCTACATCTTAAAAGCTGCCAATTATTAGAGACATCTCAACATCTTTCATCAACATCATATATCATCATAAATCATCAAACATCATATATCATCATAAATCATCAAACATCGTGTATCATCGCAATTCATCAAACATCATATATCATCATAATTCACAGCAATTCAGCCACAACAACATTACAACAGCAATTCGTCAATCTCGCAACGTTGGCCATAAGCCCACGACATGATATTGCCTATAATTAATTAATCATATAAGGCATACTTCTAAATTACCAAACCTCTACATATTACTATTCTGTAATACTGCATTCATTCTCATCATTGATCCTACTGCTACAACCCAAACAACAATCTATAAACATTTCATCCCCATCATTCTTCACAAAAATCAACACAACAATCAACACGGGAACTAATTCAAATCCTAATTTGGATACTATGATTACCCTTCCTACTCTTCATTTTAATCCTGAAGAATGAATTTCATTACGTTAGCTATTCAACGCTTCGAACGGCACCTCAAATGGAGTCCGAAAACTCAAGTTACAGTAATTTCCAAACGATTCTGCCAAAAACCAGACAACATGGATCGATGCATAATGCCTTGGGTCGACGCGTACTGAACTGATCGCGCTACATGAGTCGACGCATCCTCTCTTGTATCAATTCATACTGAGTTTGTCACATTGCATGTATCGATACATGCTCTTACCTATCGACTCATCCTGAGTCTGAAAGCCCTCTTGTATCGACACATGACTCCTTCGTGTCGACTCATCCTAAGTCTAAAGATCTTCTTGTATCGACACATACCATTTGGGGTCGACACATACTGCTCTGTCATGGGTAATTTCTGCGATTTTCTCTGCGTTTTCACTACGGGTTCCACACTTTAGGCCCTAAAAACATCTCCTAATCATAGTTAATTCATCGATTATCATTATCCTATAATTCTACATCAAATATACAGTATTAGGACATCGTTATTCATCTTTCAATCATCAATTTCCATCATACAACATCATATATAATTCAATCATGAACAAAGCAACATTTTACCTCTAACCCCACATACCAATTATCATGAACCCTATTATAGAGTCAGAACCCCACCCTTACCTTGGATTGAAGGTCGCTCTATAACTTTTCCGGTTGATTCTCGTTCTGCCTTTTTTTCCTCTTTTCCAACAGCTTCACGTTCTTCTTTCCAACCCTTATTCTTCTATTGCTTCTTCTTTCTTACTACTTCTAACAATAATAAAATAACCTATTATTCTCTTAATACCTTAATGGGCTTAGAACTAATACACCCCCTTTTTACTATTTCCATTCCTTTAAAACAAGCCCGCATCAACTAGTATTATCATTCTTCTAATATTATTCCACCACTTAATAAAATAATTAACTCCAACTAATCACAACACATCAATTATTCCAAAAATAATTTAATTAAATAATTCATTAAATTACGGGCGTTACACTTATCATATACATCTTTGTAGAATTTTATAATAAACACTAGAGTTGTTGTACGGATAGTGTTTATATTCATATCTCTTCATGTAAATTGTTTTAACACTTGAGTTGTTGTTCGTAGAAGTGTTAAACAATATGTGCTTAAATATTTTGTGTAATCTACTTATAAGAAGCCACCATGTAAACACAAAAACCCCATCAACTGTTGTTGATTAGTTCCTTGAGAGACTGAGTGAAAGTCTGATCTCAAGAAGACAATGGTTGCTGGTCATTATGGAAAATCCTGATAGGAGATTTTGCAGGATCAGATTCTATTGGGTCATTGATTGTTATATCTGATTGGATCACTGAACATATCATTGAAAGGTTCCTTGAGAGATTGAGTGAAGGTCGATCACAGGAAGATAATGGTTGCTGGTCATTATGAGAAATCCTGATAGGAGATTTTGAGGAATCAGATTCTATTGAGTCAATGGTAGTCATATCTCAAAGAGGACCGAGTGAAGGTCAGACTCTTGTGAGATCCCTGATGGATATCATTGCAAAGAAATCCTGATAGGAGATCTTGAGTGATCGGGTTCTATTGGCTCAATGAACGTTATATCATGTTGGATCCCTGAACGTGTCATTGTGTGTTAGTCACCGCCGGTTACCCGTGCGATTGCAATCAATTTGGTTACAGTGGATTAAGTCCTTGGATAAGACGAAATCATCCTTGTGATGGTGGACATGAGTAACCTAGTTAACGGCGAACCTGGGTAAAATATTTGTGTCATTTATCTTCATTGTCTTTATTGTTATTATCATTTGAGTGTTTAGAATTTTAATGGGGAATATTTTCTATGAACACAATTCAAACCCCCATTTCTTGTGTTTTCTCTACCTTTAGAAGGAGACTGAGATGCCTGACTCCTTTCCCTTTTCACAGAAATATGTTGTGCAAGCTTGTTGTGCCTCAACCTAGATAGTCTCTCAGCCATTACTCTTGTAGAAGAACGAAATAAACGTTAACAATAAGACTTAGATTCAAAAAAATAAAATAAAAAATGCAGACTGACTAAAATCGGATATGTATTTCCGATTTTTGACTAAACATTAATAAAAATTGGAAATGCATCTCCGGTACGACCTGCAACATTTCAACTTCGTAAATGGCGAAGCTCCGCCCTAATGACATAAAAAAAACAGTCATTGGTCGTAAAAAAAAATACGCACCTAACACGTTTCTTTTGACTCCTAACATTGCAAACACTAAAAAAAATTGAATTTTCTACCCTAAAACACAATTTATAAGTTAAATTACATAAACTCCAAAAAGCTCTAAAACAATTTAGGAGAACATTTCATCATTTTTTATACCCTCCAATTTAGACGGAATCATAAAATAACTTTATTCCATCATGAAATATCTAAACAATAGAATGACATGCATCAAGCTCCGCTCCATTCCATCCAATTTTATCAAGTTATGCTCCATTTCATCAAATTTTAATTAATCCAAACAATAGCACATTAATTTATACCACTCAATTCCATCACATCTCACTCCATTCCATCAATCCAAACATAGCTAACATAGCTAAGAATGCAAAAATGTTAAAAAAATATGCTTATACGTATTTCTAACATTTTTTTATTGAAATTCACTTGATACCTAGTACCTACCATAGTACACACAAAAACTCTTTTAACTTTCAATAAATATGAAAAAAAAGTGTTTTACAAAGTCTTGTATGAATTAAAAATTGTCAACACTCACGGTATAGAAATATGTTGACTTATTATATAACAGAGGGGGGTAATGTTTTGTTAGATAAGTGATCAAATAACACAGGACATAATCATGATTGAAGTCATTATAGATAAAGTCAAACAACTGTCTTCCAAAATCTTGAGATTTGTTGTTTGAGTTTCCTCAGGGAATAAGAATAAATTCTTCAAATCTGCAATACAAATTGAGAAGATTGAGTAGGAAAGAAAGACTTGCAAAAGAGTATTGTTGAATCACAAATTTGACAGCAAGACATAGACAACTATTGAGCTATAGTTAACATGCCTAATGTTAAAAGCTGAAGTGGACTTACAAAAGTGTTATGTTATGTGTGAACATGAGGAAGAAATTCCAGAGAATAACAGTGACCATGTTTGCAAACAATAAACATTTCTTTAGCAATATCTGCCATGTTAAGGATTTACCGTCTTTGATTGAAGATAAAACAAATGGTGGCCCATTCTTGGCCAGACACCGCCAACCAAGGATTAGAGGATTATTGACATCTCTCTTTCACTCCAAAACACTTGCCATTTCAGTAGGAATTGGTGCATGAGGAAAGAAGCTAGATGGTCATTGATGAGCTCGTTAATAGTTTTCTACTTAGTGACTCATACCTGCAAAATTGACCTAATTTTCTCCAAAAGCTCAAATCAGGAATTGGGTCAAAATTTGAAATGATGCTTCAGCTTCTTCCCTTTAATAAGGGCACTGCTGCTCAAACTACTTGGACATAGCATCATTGGAGGATCTTGGGTTGCATAGCCAGTCATCAGTGAGGAGTTGAATCCAGCAGAGTTACAAGAGCGCAGGGTTATACTTATCAGAGGGAACAATTTCGCCGACAGTACAATCAAGATATCTCTGCGATTAACATGTGTCCTGGTAGTAAAAGATGTAAACATTTGATAACTTGAAAAAGAATTGGGGAAAGATAAAAAATTAACAGTGTCAATTTCAACATTAGTCAGTATAACTGAAATCAAAACAAAAGAAAATTGGATTTTATTTTCCTCTTACATTACCTCTGGCGACCAACAGTTTTTCATAATAATAGGAAAAGGAAACAACAGTTTCAATACTAAATATTTTGAACTAATAAATAAGAACCAAAAGAGTACCTTTCATCAACCAATTTTGTTTTGCATATGTAGCAATAGTACTATACCATTGAAAGTCCATTGCACTAAGTTGATATTCATATAGGCCCCCTACTGGCTGAATAGACAGGAAGCGCATATACATCATTTCCATTGTTGCTTTTCTAGAATTGTCAAACAGATAATCAGAAATACAAGCAATAATAAAAGATTATGAAATGGCAATCTGATATTAGATATAGTATATCGAACCCCAAGTCATGTGTTGATTAACTGATGTCTGTAGAGCTCCTGAGTAGGATGCTAACTCCTTCGGAAAAATTTCAGCATTTAAACAATGGAAGTCTTTAACATCTCAAATAGATGATAAGAATTATGTTTTCCCTTGTGTTCAACCTGTGCTTCCTTCTTCACACATTTATCTAGAGCTGAAAAAATTACCTGCATTCAATAACAGGTTGCTCTCAGAATTGAAGATAGCAGAAAGTAGGAAAGACCCACATGCAATGTAGCTTAAACATCATAAAGAAGCAGTCATTGGATCCTATCAAAAAATGTATAGTATTATTACAAAAAAAAAAAATCAAATGCAAAGTAGGGACTTATAATTTAAATCTACAATTGACAAAGTGCACACTTTTCCTATCTATATAATTCATTTCAAAAAATGATTTGCAAATCTGGCAGCTATATTACACATGGAGCTAAACTCCAATGGTGCCAGATTTTGAGTACGTAAGTCAAACACGGGATCTTAAGTAGGATTGGTCAGCTTGTGAAAGATCATAGAACTCTTATTGTTACTTACCACAACAGGTAAGATCCTACTGAAGGGAAAAATGGTAATTTCATACATTTATATATTCACACATACACAAAAACATGAAAATTATAATACAGGCCCAAAAAAAAGCCCCAACACATTTTTTTACGATCTTGCTTCAAAAAGCTCGATCTTGACCACACCGGCGACGAAAATGATCTTTCTCTGATCGTAGGCATCCTTAACACATAAGATCTTACGATCCAGCACTCAATCTTGACTACAGTATGCAGATGGACCATTAACCTGACATTAACTATAATTTGAATAAGCTTATGTGTCCCTAGTATTTGTTAACTACATCTAACGTGTATGGAAAACCTCAGTTGGTATTTAGTATTCCAACTTTATTCAAACCCATTAATAAGAGTCGTTATCGACAACAGCCTTTAATCAAAATATGCTTAGAAAATATTGTGTACTATTTATTCCAACTTCAAACAAACAATTAGTGAGTATAGTTAACTGCACTCACAATAACAAATTCCTCTGCTAATGATAGGCTGAAGCAAGGCCGTTGTGGTAAAGATGCTCACTTGTGCAAAGTGCATCTAGGTAATTGAGAACATCAGGAGGTGGATCACTGTCACGAATCATATTAACAAGCTGCCATACATACGAGAATCTCTCAGATTTGAACAACCCGTCAAAAAGTATTGTGTAAGTTGCAATATCGGGAACCAAATTTTTCAGATACATTTCTTTGAGAAGATTCATGGCTTCATCTATTCTTTTACTCTTGCAATATCCATCGATCATGATGGTATAACACAGAACGTCGGGTCTCAAACCTCTTCTAATCATTTGATTAAATAAAAAAATTGCATGGTCGAGATGTTGGCTTTTGCATAAAGCATCTAACATGATACTATAAGTGATATTATCCGGGGGTGGACCATTATCATGCATCTTATTAAGAAGCTTCCATGCACATGATATTCTCCCAGATCTGCACAAGCCATCAATAAGACAACTATAAGTTACAATATGAGGAACCAAATTCTTAAGATCCATTTCTTTCAATAGAATCATGGCCTCACCCATTCTTCGATTCATGCAAAACCCATTAATCAAAATAGTATAAGTCCAAACATCAGGTTCCAATCCCCTTTCAACCAGTTGATTAAACAGCAAAATTGCTTGGTCAAGACATTGGCTTTTGCACAAAGCATCTAACAAGATACAATAAGTAACAGTATCAGGCGTCAAACCACTATCGTGCATTGTCTTAACAATCTCCCAAGCCCGCGAAACTCCACCTGATTTACAAAAGGAATCAATCAGAGTATTATAAGTAACAACATTCGGAACCAAGCCCTCATGACGCATTGCATTGTAAACCTTCATAGCATCATCCAATCTCTTAACCTTACAATACCCATGAATCAAAACATTACAAGTCCAAACATCCAGCGCAAAACCCCAATTAACAACCTTACCAAACAACTCCCTAGCCTCATCCACATTCCCCTTCGAACAATACCCACCCATCAAAGCAGTACAAGTAACAACATTCACCTCATAACCTCTCTTAACCATTTCATCAAACACCTCTCGTGCTTCCACTAACATCCCCTTTTTACACAACCCATCAATCAAAACCGTAAAATTATAAACACTCACATAAAAACCCTCCCTAACCATCTCATCCAACAATCCAAAACCTTCCCTCACTCTCCCTACACCGCACAATCCACGTATCAATGATCCATACGTAAACTCGTTCGGACAAACACCATTAACCAACATTTCATTACAATAAAAATCAAAACCCTCATTCACAAACCCATTTCTAAACAAACAATCAATAACAGTACTATACATAACAACATTAGCCTTGACAAAAAAACAATTTTTCTCAACCAATCTCAACAAATGAATAGCTGCATTAACTCTTCCTTCTCGACACAAGCCATCAATCAAAATCCCGTAACTAACATCATTCAATTGAAACCCTTTATCAACAAGCTCGTCATGAAACTCTAACGCCTTCAAAACTTGACCATTGAAACATAAACCTTTGAGAAGTGCATTTAATGCTACAGTATCTAGAACATAACCACGTTTGAGAATTTTACCGAAAAGGGAGAATGATAAAGAGACATGACCCAGATGAGAGAAAGAGGTTATTATGATTGTGAGAGTGATTATACAAGGGGTGATGATTTTGTTGAATTCGATTTGGTTGTAAAGGTGTATGGCGGTCAGGTGTTGGTCGGTGATTGTTAGGGAAGTTAGGTGTTTGTTGAAGTCAGTGGTAGATGAGTGCGTGTTGAATGAAGATGTTGTTGTTGTTGTTGTTGCGGCGGGGTGGTGGTGGTGGGTGGTGGTGAAGGTAGAAACTGGAGGAAATGGATGGAAATTGAAGGTGTGGAAGTGGAAGGTTCTGGTATAGCGGCGTAATGCTCTCTTCATGTTTTGCTGGCGCACTTGTTAAGTGGCCAGTTTGACGAAGAAGCTTACTTACGCTGCCAGAGAAGTGGTTTTGATTTTGAGGTTAGTTTTGGGTCTAAGGAGTTTGTATTTGGTTTTGGTGCAATTTTGTAAAACTGGTTTTTTTTTATTTTTTTATTCTTCTTTTTTTTGGGTCTCTGCAATTTTGAAATGGGAAATGACATCCCTACACAAAAACTATATCCTAATGCTCTTTTGAAGTGTTCATAGTCTATTATTTACACTTTACATGCTCGTGACCCATTAATAATTAGTACAAAATTTTTTTAGATTTATTGAATAATTGATGTAGTTGATATAAAATAATTATTAGCTAAATTATTTATTCAATAAATCTAAATAATTTTTTGTTATTTATAAATGTGTCTAGAGGATGTACTGTATAAGAAAACAAAGGTAGGTGGAAAACTCTCATTTAACTTTCTCTTTAATTCTGTCAACTTAACAAAATGAGGGTAATTTGGATTTAAAATTTATTTTTTTGCAATTAATGATGTCATATTGTTCAATTTCAATTACATGATTGTTGTTTTATGCATTTACTTGATAGGTTTGAATTAGTCGATAATGTCACATGGTTCAAATTCAATTTCTTTTTTTCTTTTCTGTTATTTCAATGTCAGTTGTAATTCAAAATTATAATTATCTTCTGAATCTCTCTCCTTGTCTTGTCCTTTCTCTCTTTGTCTCTTTTTTTATCTCTCTCGATCTGCTTTTGTCTTCCTCATTCTTCTTCCTTCTCCCTCATCTTCTTCTTATTTCTCAACGTTGTTTTATTCTTTTGGTATCTCACTGAAGGAAGAGACACAAACGATCCATCGTTGTTGCAACACGCCATAGCTGCTGCAACTCACAACTCCGACATGAATACCACAGTCGCCGCTTTCGTCGAGATTTCATTTTCGGTCACATCATCACCATCCTCTAGGTTGTCCGCTCATCACCCTTTATTGTCGTCAATCATCGAAGCTCGTGTTTCAGATCTGCCAAGATCCATCGCGAGTTACTCCTTTTTCTGAGAAATAGGTTAGTTGGGTTGGAATAAGTCCTCTTTAATTTTGCATTTTTTATTTGATTTTTTTAGATCTATGTTTTAGTTGCTTGCTATAATATTTGAACTACATATTTCAACATAAATTTTTCATTTTTACTACATTTTTAAGTAATATGAGAGTGGTTTTGCTATTTGTTGGTTTGTGTTTTTTATATTTTGCCGGGATAATGGTTTATGGTTTCTATCTCAATTTTTTATTGTTTAACGGTGGTTTTCTTTATATTTTGGACTGGTAATGGTTTATGATGTTAACGGTGTTTTGTTTCATTCCTTCTATCGTATCGTGATTGTTCCACTTCAAATAGTGTAAGATAGTGCAGTAAATCATTTTGATAGCAGTTTGTATCAATATAAGGTATTATAATAGCAGTTTGTATCAATGGTTATTATTTTACCGCATACTGTTACTTATTCATATTTTATCTTTGCAACTATCTGCTATATGAATTATGATAATGTCATTTTGTTGGGGCATGGACCATCACTTTTATCTAATATTATCTTTTCAGTATCTTGATTATTGAAATCAAATTGGTAGAATTCTATTCAAAGTATATGTTAGATTTTGTGGCTATTTTATTTCAACTTTGCAATAAGTTCTCTCTTTCCTTTTTGAGTTTGTCTCACTGCACATCAGTAATTTTCTATTTCAGGTTCATGTGGAAGAAGACATCTTGAATGATCTCAAATTCAAAATTCATGCTAACGATCCGAACAAAATTTAGTCACTAACTGCAACATCTACCATATAAGAAAATTTGAGTATCTGAATAACACTTTTCTAACATTTTCCCTTCTTGCAACACCTCACCAAATTGAGGGCATCTTATGTCTAAAAAATTATATTTTCAACTAATGATGTCACAATTCTTTTTCAATTACATAGTTGTTGTTTTTTATCTTTGATCATTAGGTTTGAATGGATTGATGATGTCACTTGGTCCAAATTAAATTTCTTTTCCTCTTTTCTCTTCTATCAATGTCTACTTTAATTCAAATTTCAAAATTTTCAGAATCTTCTCTCTCTCTCTCTCTCTCTCTCTCTCTCTCTCTCTCTCTCTCTCTCTCTCTCTCTCTCTCTCTCTCTCTCTCTCTCTCTCTCTCTCTCTCTCTCTCTCTCTCTCTCTCTCTATCTCTCTTTCTCTTGAGAAAACCCTAATCCTTATTTTTCCAGTTCTTCTCTTTCACTTTCTTCAACGAAGAAACCACTACGCCGACCCAGTTTTTTTCTTTAAGAATTTTCATTTTTCATCTGTTGATATTTATGGTTTTTATTCTGGACTGGCCCGAAAGCTTGAGTGGGCCCAGTATAAGACATCTCATAGGTGTCACCCACTGACCGTGACCCAGACTGGCCGCACCTGTCGGGAAATGTCACTCTCTTGCCCTTTTGGTGCAGCGCTGATCCAAGATGCTCGTCGAGCGTCTTCTCAGCCTGCCCGACACCAGTGTCATGCAGACCACCAGGGACCGACCAGAGAGATGCCCGCAACCAGCCTCCTTCCCGGAACCAACGGCTAGTTACGAGCACATCTGCCCGGTTTGACCAAGTCTTGGCAGTTACCTGATTTTCTGAACCCACATATCTAGGCGGGAAATCAGGAACTAATGACCACGCGCCAGGGGCATTATATAAACCCTCACACTTGTGAGGGCCATGTATCACATATTCACTACTCACTACCTGATATTTTGCTAGTACCTCCTTGCTCCCACTCTTACTTGATCGTTGAAGTACCTTGCAGGTACAGCCCCCTCTCTCCTCAGCCCGACTGAAGATCATCCTCTGACCATTCTCCAGGTTCTGATCAAACACAAAATCAGTGGCGCCGTCTGTGGAAAACTGCTATCCCCATCTTTCTTCCCTCGGAACCTAAGATTAAAGCAACTTTTCTTTCAAGATCCATCTCTCTTATCATGGCCGACCATAATGATCTTTACATGCCCGGAAAGACCATCCTTTCCCCCGCTCGCAAGATCAGTGGCGCATGCCATCACCTGACCATTGATCCCACCATCAAGGTGATCGCGCAACACAGAAGAAAGCAGTCGACCGAGAAGTCAAAGGCTGCTGAATTAGTTGTAAAAGACCTCTTAAAGGCATATTTTATTTCTGAAGCCCAGTACACAACCTGGCTCTCAAATGCTGTCCTCGTTAAAAAATATAATGGAAAATGGAGAATATGCATTGACTATACTGATCTCAATCGGGCTTTCCCGAAAGATGCTTATCCCCTCCCCAATATTGACAAACTAGTCGACAATTCGGCCGGTTTTAAACTGTTATCTTTCATGGACGCATACTCTGGTTACAACCAGATTCCCATGGCAAAAACTAATAAAAAATATATCGCTTTCATGACCGAGTCGGGCAATTATTACTATAACGTAATGCCCTTCGGCCTGAAAAACATGGGCGCTACCTACCAGCGCATGATGAACAAAGTCTTTTGCAACGAAATAGGCAACATGCTCGAAGTCTATATGGAAGACATGATCGTCAAGTCCATCGAAGAGCTCGACCATGCCGCCCATTTGAAAAGGTGTTCGAGCAAGCCCGAAAGTGCCGGGTGCGATTCAACTTGGAAAAATGCACCTTCGACGTACAGGCAGGAAAGTTCCTCGGGTTCTATCTGACAAAACGGGGCATCGAGGCGAACCCCGACAAATGTCAGGCCTTCTCCAATTTTCCGACGCCCACCTCGAAGAAATCCATCCATATCTTAAACGGCATGCTCACTTCTCTTTCCTGATTCATGGCAAAATTCGCCCAGCACGCGCTCCCCTTGTTCAAACTCCTGCGCAAGGAAGCCACCTTCAAGTGGACGCCCGAATGCGAACGAGCCTTGGCCCATTTGAAAAGAGAACTCTCACAGCCGCCCATCTTATCCCGGCCTGGGAAAGACAAAGTCCTCTACCTTTATCTAGTTGTCGCCTCTTAGGCAATAAGCGCGACACTAATAAGAGAAACCCCAGAGGGACAAAGGCCAATTTATTTAACGAGCAAGGCCCTGCAGGGCCCGAAAGCGAGATATCAATAAATCGAGAAAGTAGCATTGGCCCTCATTAACGCTGCGAGGAGGCTAAGACACTACTTCCTGGCCCATACCATAGTGGTCCGGATGAATCATCCAATAAAACAGTTGCTCGGAAGGCCATACATGGCCGGTAGAATGCTGAAGTGGTCTCTGGAACTCTCTGAATTTGATATCCAGTATGAAAGCAGGAAAGCCCTTAAGGCTCAATCCTTGGCCTACTTCGTAGCAGAAATGACCTCGCCCGGAGATCCAGAAGGCTCGCGCCGCTAGACGATCTTCGTCGATGGCGCCTCTAGTGCAACCGGAAGCGGCGCATGCATCATACTAGAGAACGAGGAAGAGACCCTGGTCGAAGTTTCCCTCGCACTGTCTTTTCCGACCTCCAACAATCAAGCTGAATATGAGGCATTCCTCGCAGGCTTATGGCTAGCCTAAGATTTGGGAGCCGAGGAAGTAAAAATATTTATCGATTCTCAGTCGGTCGCATCGCAAGTCTGAGGTGAATATCAGGTCAAAAATTGCCAACTCGCTGAATATTGGACCCTAGTTCAGGAGGCAAAGAAGAAATGCAAGTATGTGGACGTTCAACACGTTCCCCGCTAGCACAATGCCCGCGCAGACATTTTACCCAAATTGGCGAGCACAAAGAAGAAGGGAGGAAATAAATCTGTAATACAAGTAGTACTTCATCATCCAAGCACCCAGAAACCATCTGCCACCCTAGGAGTATTCGCCATCAGAGATAGCGACTGCTGGATGACCCCCGTACATGATTACCTCACTAAAGGCAAACTCCCCGACGACCCAAAAGAATAGGTCATTATCAGACGAAGGGCCTGCTCGTACGTCTTAGTCGAAGGCAAACTTTA